GTTGGAGGCTGGAGTACAGTGGTGTGATTTTGGCTCACTGCAACTTCCGCCTCCTGGGTTCAAGCGATTCTCGTGACTCAGCCTCCTGAGTAGCTGGGATTACAGGCACATGCCACCATACCGTTATTTTTTTGTGTACTTTTACTAGAGACGGGGTTTCACCATGTTGGCCGGGATGGTCTCAGTCTTCTGACCTTGTGATCTGCCCGCTTTGGCCTCCCAAGGTGCTGGGATTATAGGCATGAGCCACCACACCCGGCCTATTTTCTTCTTTTTAAGAGTTAATTCCTCAGACAACAAAGAATCTGAAGTTTAGAGCTACACCTCAAGTATGGAATATTAAATTGTTTTAAGACACCAGCAAGTACCAAAATTCTTCAGCAATGTGGTGGTAACCTAACCAGATATAATCATTAGGAATGATCAAATATCAAATACATTTTCCTTTTCAAAAAATAAATTAGAAATGGGACACAGTGAGCGTGTTATCTTCAACATCAGCTAATAATGTTTAAAGGCAGTCTCATGCCTGTACTGAGTGTGTCTGTTTGATAGATGTCATTGTTGCTTTGGTAAGTCTACCTCACATACTCTGTGGGTTAACATCAATATTTTTAATCCTTCTAAGAAACTATGATTTCGTAAGCAAGCAAGGCAGAGCAAAGCATGCCTTTTGTGATTTGACTTTTTGTAACTCCTGAGTGATTCACAAATTCTGATCGTGTCCTTGGAATATGAAATTGCACACATATGCTACTGTGTAGGTACCTGAAGACACTAATTGTTCCCTAATTTGCTTATTATTTCAGCCTGGTCTCTAACTGATAGGAAACTTACAGGCTTGGTTATATGGGATCCATGTGCTTCAAAAGACAAGAAACCTACAGTTTTGTCCAGAATCCACTGCTGTGATTTAAGAATGGGATGACCAGATAGAAGTCAGCCTTCTACAAGGCTCTGAAGTTGGATCACCGCCTCTCAGCAGCTTTGTTTGATGTTGATGTTGAGATATTTGGAAGGAGATCAATAATCATCAGATGTCTCAAATTCACTGAAAAAATAATTGCACAATATTTAACTGGTGTCACGGCATGACAGAATGGTCTTTCTTCAAACACAGAATAGCGTTATACTTCTATTTTTAGCTCAAGATAGTTTATAAAAAGCCTACTTCTTTCTCTCTCTCTATATATATACACATACACTATATATATGTGTATATAACTCTATATGTAGCTATATATAGTTTATATATCTATACACACATGTATAGATATATATATATATATAACTGTTCTCTGTTTCATACTAAATGAGACAATGATAAAAGCATAAAGCAGCCTGACTCAGAGTTGCCATGGACATTTGAGGTGATTTCACTCTAATTCAACCCATTTTCTAATAAGTAAAAATGAACCAAATCATATCAGTAGCTTTTTTGGCAGTGACTTTTATGGTAATTCAGTTTTTTGAAAATGTGTCAACTAGCATTACCAGCAGGGGTTAATATCTCTTTTTACTTCTTTGGAAGATTGCTGCCTTCCTTCTCTCCCTCCCTTCTTCCCCTTCCACTCCCACTACTCCCCTTCCCTTTCCCTTCCTTTCCCTTCCTCCTTTTCTTCCTTTTTTTTTTAAAAAAATATGCATTCACTCTTATAGTAGGTGTGCCAAATGCGTTGAGAATGTGACATAAAATATCAACAAAAAATGAGATATTGAATATTTAAAAATATATACATATAGTTATATTAAATTGCAAAAAAATATACCATTCATTACAGAAAAGTTTTTTTCTGGGCATGGTTACGGAGGAGATTGAAGTTTGCTTTGAAACAGGGCAGCACATGTCAGTGAGGGTGGTTTGCAGCATAGCTTCACTGAGGGGCAATAAAGCCAGGAAAATGCTATTGCTGATTTTATAGCCACATCCCCTTTTCATGGCCATCCCTTTTACTGATTGGGATGACTACTAGGACTTTTGTGTTTTCTACGAGAATATTGACTTTTAGTGAGTTTACACCACTTGATGAAAGAAAATTGAATGTATAGTACCTGCAATTTAAATGTTACACATTTGTAAGGCATTTCATATATAGGTAAAATTACTAACCTGAAAAAATAATTGGTCTGGTTTTTATTCAGAAAAATATGTATGTGGCATTCAAGTGGCAGAAGCAGCTGGAAAATCCGTGTTTGAACTTCTGGGGCTGCGGGAAGACCCTCTCTCTTCCATTTATAATGATCTTTTATTACTCACTGGAGTCAAACAAGTATTGCTTCTCCGGCTTAAGATGTTGGTGCACGTGGGAGAGGTGAATGGTCACAGATAATTTCATTGGAATGAATTTGTCACCTGTTTGACTGGAAACCGGTTTGAATATGGGAAGACGCTTTGTGCACACAGTGGACCTTGGAGGAGTAAGAAGGGGACCCACCATTGATGGGGTGAAGTGGGGGAGCAGCAGAGAGAGGGGCTGGGGAGACCAAGACTCACTGGGCAGCTAGAGAGGAGGAATGCCTCTAATCCTGCGAAGGTCTTTTGTAGCCTGTATGAAAGTCTACATAAAAATAATTTTGCAGACCATCCTGGCTAACATGGTGAAACCCCGACTCTACTAAAAATACAAAAAATTAGCCAGCCTTGGTGGCAGGCACCTGTAGTCCCAGCTACTTGGGAGGCTGAGGCAGGAGAATGGTGTGAACTTGGGAGGCGGAGCTTGCAGTGAGCCGAGATCAGGCCACTGCACTCTAGCCTGGGCGACAGAGTGAAATTCTGTCTCAAAAAAATTTTTTTTTTTTTGCAAAATACATACATTTTGAATGAGTTGCAAGAAAAAATGAAGTTACTCTAGTTGATGCTTTCATCTCTTTTAAACTGTCCTAAGTCCAAGATCAGTTTATATAAACGTGCTGTGATACAATTTTCCTCGCTTTTCAGAGTGATCCCAAGCCTACGTCCGTATTGGAAACATATTTGTCTGGTCATGACTGACTGTTGGAATCTGTCTGGAAGCATACATGGGGAACACCTGGTGTACCTGGTATTACCCTTGGGGCTACGTGGATTGTGTTGAAAGCTGTCTTTTAACATGATGCCCATCTTAGGTTGTGAGGACTTATTTTGTAGTAATTAGTCAGGGTTACAGTGAGCCACACTTCTCCCTGGACATACAGCATATAGGATGTCACACCAAGGAACATAATTGCAAGTTGGGAACTGGCATTGAGTCAGGGCACGGAGCAGAGGCTATATCCCAAGGAAAAACAGCCGACGTGAAGTTGCGTGAATGGGGCATAAAAGTGACTCAGAACTCTGTCTGATCATGGAAGACTGAGAGGGCAAAAGTTCTTGCTTGGTGGGGCGTGGTGGCTCATGCCTATAATATCAGCACTTTAGGAGGCCAGGGCAGGTGGATCACTTGAGCTCAGAAGTTCCAGACTAGCCCCGGAAACATGGTGAGACCCCATCTCTACAAAAATTAGCTGGGCATGGTGGCATGTGCCACTTCCTAGGGAGGCTGAGGTGGGAGTATTGCTGGAGCCTAGAAGGTCAAGGCTGCAGTAAGCCAAGATGGTGCCACTGTACTCCAGTCTGGGCTACAGAGTGAGATCCTGTCTAAAAAAAAAAAAAAAAAAAAAAAAACCCCAAAATTAAAAAGTTATTGCTCAAGTGATATTTCCATGAAAGTACAACTCAGTGACAAATACCCATTATTTGAACCCTACAACTTTCACAGAACAAACTGGACAGTGTGTATAGAAGCAAGTTTCTTAAAAAACAAGCTATATTAGTTGGGAGTAAGGAAGGGGAATGTGGCATTTCATTACAGACTCTTAACTTCCTCTTTTGAGTCTGACACACCTTCTATATTTTCTTACGGCCTCCCAGAAGCAAACAGGCAAGGCTGGAAAAAGGAAGTTAAATAACGATTTGCTCAATTTGAAAGAAACATAACTTTTTCACATGATACCAAACGTTTCCCAAATGAAACGCTCCCTGCCCTGCCCCGGTATGCAACTTTCCAAATAAATCTGTCCTAAGTAAGTCATTTCATCAGCTGGATTAGATACACTTTCTTCATCTTTGGCTGGGTCTTACCAAAATGAGTGATTCAACATCTTAGGAGAGATTGCTGCAAGGGTTACACCAACAGATAAATATGGGAATTTCTTTCACACTGGCTCGTTTCAGACCAATAGCAGAGCTAGGTAAACAGTGATCTCATCTTCAGTCACACAGTTTTGCTGACATTACAAAGAAAGGTGTCAACACAGATTTAAGGTGGCTGTCGACTTACTCTGTCCTTCATTTTGGCTTTTGAGTTTTTTACCATAGAGAGGTAACTCTGAGAAAAGCGAAAAAGTTTTTTTTTCCACTTTTTTTTTAAACTAGAAAAGCAATGCTTGCTCTTTAAATATACGTAAAAGAATAGAAGGAAGATAGAAACGTATCCCACCACCTATACAGAAACAGTGTTTATATTTCTCCTTGATTCTGAGACACATTTAGGATCTTTGCAGGGAACTTTTTGGTAAGTTTCAGGTAACTGTAGATGAGAGCTCTTTCTTTTCAATCGGTTCTGAGAACTTGATATTCTTAAATGGTTCTTTAAGCCCAAAATATTTCAGTTGAGTTAAGCTTTAACCAACCTAGGTGATTAGTGTATACGCTCTACAACCTTGCAGAACACTTTGTATCAACAAGTAACACAAACCCCGAATTCCTGGAGCATGTCTTGTGTTTGTATTCAAACATAACCCTGAAATGTGTTCTCACCCTCAGTATCTCACACACATTCTTCTTATTTGAAAGCTTCGTGTATTACTCAACAACCTCTAACATATCTCAGCGATGGTAAAGACACATAGAGAAGAAGTGACATCATGAAGCTGATTCTGTTCTTTTGGCTTTGTGTTTAGCTAATGCTGAACAGAGCGGTGAGTCATGCAGTCCTGTGACCAGCCAGGCGCTTTTCCAATCAGAGCCTGTTAAGATCTTTGACAACAGAACCTGTAGTTGTTTGAAGAGGAGGTTTCACTAGTGACCTGTACCCTTGGTAATAACAGGCTTTATAGTTAACAAAATGTGTTCTCTCCCTACTTAATAACAAAACACCAATCATGAGATAATGCTTAGCAAAGCTGACTCATTTCCTCCTTTACAGATGAAAGGAGTTGTCCAAGAAATGACAATCTCCCAGGGGAATTTTCCTTCAGGTCATTACGTGAGTCTCTTTAAAGCATGGTGGACTGTAACATTAGGTTGTCAGTTACTAGGTATATTAAAAAGTAAATTTTATTATGAAATAATATCATACATTTAAAGCCCGGTCCAATTTTCTCTTGAAATATGTGAGAATTGCTGATTTCAGATGCGATTCAGAAGAAATAGCTCGACTTGTATAATCAGGTGTCCAGAAGATTGAAATTTCTGTTTTATTAAAATGTGGACTTAACGTTTGCTTTCCTTTTTGTTTTCAGCCAAGCAAGGTTTGGAGATTCTGCAGCTGTCACCCCCAGCGTCTCTGTAGGATAGCCTCGTGCCCCTCTTCACCCAGGTCTGCAGGAGGGTGGCAGCGCGGCTTGAGAAGGCTGGGTGGCGGAGCTCGGAGGCGTGCAGTGTTCCCACCACACTGCGGTGGCTCAACTGCCCGGGCTGTGGGGTTTCCAGCTGGGTCATGTTGACTTGAACCGACTCAGCAGGCGGTGACCCCCTGGAGCACCTGAAGCCTTCAGAGAAATATGATGGAAAACCAAGAGGCCTCCACCTCCCTGACTTGCTGCAACCTCCTGGGCTTTGCAGTCGGGCTGCTTTTGCAGATGCACTCCTCAAAGCTAGCTCGGCAGACATTTATTTTTAAATATACAGGAAGCCAAAGACGTTGAGAGAAAAGCCGCCTAATGCATTCCTCCGCTCATCTCCAAAGTCATCGCTAGTTTTCTAGACGCGATTTTCATCGGTCTTTCCGAAGACAGAAAGAGCCTCCTCTACATAGGGCTTCCTTCTTTGCCTTCATCTGTAATGTGAGCCTTGCCCTAGGTTGCCTCTTTCTCTACTTGCTCTGTCTGCTTCACAGTTCTCCTGTCATTTCAGCAGTTGTACCATGCTTTTTGTTGTTAGGAAATCACAAATTGTGAAACACATTCAAGTGAGCACATTTAAAAATAACCTAGGCTTCTCTACTATTTAGGTAAGGCCACTTGCTTGTTTGGGGTTGCTAATGGGAATAAGAGGCTATGTGTGATTACCTCTAGAACCTGCTTGTTTGCTCTGAGGAAAGTTTTATTGAACAGCCACAGGCTGCGTTCCAGAACATTGGCCAAACACTTTGCAAATGTGTGCCGTTGGGTCCTAGCACCGTCCACTCCACTTCTGGGAAAGGAATATGCCCTGGGGACGGAGGTCTCTTTGCAGAATGCCAACGTGGGCTGCAAACTCATAAGACTTTTAAGGAGTGGTTGTGGACCCCTGATAAAAGCCCGTTGTCATTTTTAGCTTCTGGAAATCCACAGGTCTCTAATTTTGTAAAAGGTGCTTTCCATGCTTGCGGTCTATTCTCCCAGGGAAATTTAGTCTGAATACTGTGTTGCAGGGTGGTGGTTGGAGGATAATTGCTGATACATTGTGGGCCCAGAATAGATTGGTCACGTTGTATTTCTCTCTTTTCACCCTAACAAATCAGAGACCAATGGTATTGTTCCGAATTTGGAGTCTGAGAGTCTCAACCTCGCCTTATCCTTCACCAGCCAGGACAGCGGCTAGGACTGAAGGTGCGTGTATCCGTGTTTTCCTCCCGGCCACCCTGTTCCCCGCTCTGTCCCTCACTGATCTGTGCATAAATTGGGCAGATCTACTTAAATCTGCTTTACACAGCAGGCTTTTATATAAGCGTTCATTTGAAAACTGAGAGATGTGTAAAGGCTTTTTAGCTTTGTTTTGAGATAGATAGGGTCTCACTCTGTCACCTAGGTTGGAGTGCAGTGGTGGAATCATGGCTCACTGCAGCATCGACCTCCCAGGCTCAAGTGAGTCTCTTGTCTCAGCCTCCTGAGTAGCTGGGACTAAAGGAGCACACCACCACTCCCAGCTAAATTTTTTTCATTTTTATTTTTAGTAGAGACAAGGTCTCACTATGTTGCCCAGGCTGGTCTCAGACTCCTAGCTCCAAGTGATCCTCCTGCCTCAGCCACCCAAAGCATTGGGATTTCAGATGCCTGGCGCATAAATGCCTATAGATGTTGAAAAGGGAAGGGAACGTGAAGGAAGTTCCTCACCTGGGCACTCAGAGGAGGTCTCTCAGGCAGGGAATGGACAAGGTATACGAGCCAGCTCACATCTGTGGTTCCTCCTTAGGCTCATGGAAGCTCGTCCATAAGGCATAGATTGGTTCATGATAGCGATCAGGAGAATTGTCTTGGTGTCAGGTACCTTGGTGCCTGGCTGCTGTTCTGTACCACGTGGCCTCCAAGGGTGGTTGGGCTCTAGGACTCAGGTGATCTGACTCCTAGATCATCTGAAAAAGAAAACGATGTTGAGGCTTCTTTTTCTACAGAGCCACCTAAATTTAAAGTCTGAGAGGCTGATAACTACGGCTGCCAATTATGACGTGCTGAGCAGTGTGCTACACAAGTTCCATCCTCTGCCTTGAGTTCTCGTAGCAACCTTCTGATACAGAGAGTCTATTCTTTAACAGAGGAGAAAAGAAATATGAGCTGGTGAACTAGGATGATTTGACCAGACTCACACAGCCGGAGACTATCAACTCAGAACCCAGTCTCCTGGGTCTTGATGTCTTAATCGGTTTGGGATCTTATAACAAAATACCTGAGGCAGGTGGCTTAAACAGCAGACAGTTATTCCTCCCACTTCTGGAACTGGAAATCTGAGAACAGGGTACCAGTGTGGTGGGTTTTGCGTGAGGATTCTGTTCCTGGCTTGGGGATGACTGCTTTCCCACTGTCTTCTCACGTGGCACAGAAAGAAGCAAGCCTCCTGTGGTTCCTTTAGAATCCCATCTCAAGGCCGTCATTCTCCTGACCTCATCTAAACCTTCCCCCTCCCAAAGGCGGAACCTCCTAATACATCACCTCAGGAGGTAGGGCTTCGGCATAGGCCTTTGGCCCAGGGGGGTTGGGGATAGACATTCAGTCCATAGCACTTGGGTTTGCAATCCATGCCTTAACCGTAGACCTTCACAGCCTTGCTCAGCATAGAAAAATCTCAGTGTGATCTGACAAACACCATCATGAGGCCAGCAGAGCTTCCCCATATGAGAGGATGGAGGTAGGCAGGTGAGCCGTAACTGCCCAAACAAGGCCTCACCCTTTGGTTAACGGGTTGATGGTATTCACTTTCCCTCGAGCCTCACACTTGAGGTTTAAGAGCTTGTTCCCAGCCTGGTGAGGTAGCTCATGCCTGTAATCCTAGCACTTGGGGAGGTCTAGGTGGGAGGATCACTTGAGGCCAGGAGTTTGCAACCAGCCTATGGGCCACATAACAAGACCCCATCTCCACAAAATTAAATTTTTTAAAAAGTTAGCTAGGTACGGTGGTGCTCACCTGTGGCCCCAGTTACCAGGGAGGTTGAGGTGGGAGGATCTCTTGCCCCCAGGAGGTCGAGGCTGCAGTGAGCTTTGATGGCACCACTGTACTCCAGCCTGGGCGACAGAGCGAGACCTCATCTAAAAAATAAAAGTTTGCTTTCTTCCTCTCGACCTAAATACTTTCTTCTTCTCAAAAACCAAGACGACTTTCCCCTTCGCCCTCTCAGTGATACCCCGATATGTCCCCTCTGTTGGGTGTTCCCAGGCGCTGCCCCGCTTCTGCCCTCCCTGCCTCAGGCAGGTCTGGGCTCTGCCTCCAGCCTTTCCTCCCTCCAGTCATGCTCTCCCCTCTCCGTCTCTCAAGACTTCTGCACACAGTGACCCGGTCAGTCTTAAAATGCTGCTTCAAAAATGTCACTTAGTGAAAGTCTTCCCATTCATCTTAGTCTATTCCAATCTCATTGACTCTTTCACCCATCATTTTATTCAACAAATGTCTAAGAACACATTTAGGCACGGGTGTTTCACTGCCAAGCAACATGAACGTGCGTCTGCCTGAACACATCATTTTAATTAAACATGCAAAGTCATTTTCAATACAAGAGCAAAATACTATCTCCTTAAGAGACACAGAATCAGAAAGTACTTAGGCACGTGCACGTTTCTGCACTGCACTCATCCATTCTCCAGCCAAACAGCAGTTAGTGAGCGCCTACTGTGGCAGAGCAATATGTTCTCTGCACTGGGATTGCAACATGAGTAAACAAACAAAATCTCCGCTCTTGTGAGCTTGGATTTTAGTGCAGAGCTGAGGGGAAGAACCATGTCAGTTGAATGTATATGCGAGCTATGTAGGAGATCCCTGATGTATAGTAATTTTAAAATAAATAACAATAACAGAAAAGTCATTTCTAGTAGCTCTTGACTAACAAACAGCCTTTTGAAATTGTGTGTGTGCGAAGTCTTAAAGATTTTAGTCCCTATTTGTTGTGTGTTTTTTTGTTTTTTTTTCTTTTGCTGTTTTTAGTTGTTTGAATGCAAAACAAAGGCTTGGAGTGCATGGGAACACATTTTAGGGGTGCCGCAGCTGGAAGTCAGCCTCTGAGGGTCTCCTGCAAGACTCAGGCTTGGACGTGAGTAGTGGCCTCCAAGGGCCTGGACCTCACACAGCTCAAGTGATACCAGCCCAGCTCTTTGCCAAGCTTCCTCTAGACAATACGGCCTGTATTCCTCTAGACAATACATTCCTAGACAATACGGACTGAATCATGTCCCCTCAAATCCATATATTGAAGTCCTAACCCTAAATGTGACTGTATTTGGAGACAGGGCATTTAAGGAGGTCATTCAGGTTAAATGATGTCATAAGGTCGGGTCCCTAATCCAACAAGACTGGTGTCCTCACAAGAAGAGGAAGAAGCCCAGCGATCTCTTTCTCTCCCACGCACACAAAGGGAAGGCCATGTGAGGACACTGAGAAGGTGGCCCTTTGAATCCAAGGGGAGAGGCCTTGTCAGACATCAACACTGCTGGCACCTCAATCTTGGACTTTCCATCTCCAGAACTGAGAGGAAATGCATTTTTCTTTTGGTTGAAGCGCCCAGGCTGCGGGGTTCTGTTTCAGCAGCCTGAGCTGCCGAAGAAGGGGGGTTGTTTCAAGCACCTGATCCACCTGCCTTGGCCTCCCAAAGTGCTGAGGTTTCAGGGATGTGCCACCATGCCCCGCCTAATTTTTACTTTATCATAGAAACAGGGACTCACTATGTTGCCCCTGCTGGTCTTGAACTTCAGGGTTCAAGCAATCTTTCTACCTTGACCTCCCAGATTGCCAGGATTACAGATGTGAGCCACCGTGCCCAGCCAGGCAAGGTTCTTAATATCTATGAGCCACAGTTTCCTTATTTGTAAACTTAAGGTTGCCCTTTGTTAGATGATTGCGTGTTATGATCTGGAGGTATGTTTCTCTCCAAAATTCATATTTTGATAGCTAACTCCCATGAAGATTAAGAGTGGGATTTTTGGGAAGTGATGAAGTCATGAAGGTGAGGTACCCATGAATGGGGTTAGTACCCTGATAAAAGGGCTTGAGGGAGGGTGTTTGCCTCTCCCACCATGAGAAGATGCAGAGAAGGTACCATCTATGAGAAACAGGCCCTGACCTGCTCGAAAATCTGCTGCCTCTTTGATCTGTCCAGCCTCCAGGATTGTGAGCAATGCATTTCTGTGGTTCATAAATTGCCTAATAGTCTGAAGTATTTTGTTATAGAAGCCCCAGTAGATGAAGACACTCCAGGAATAGCCCTGCTCAGCTCTCATTTGCTGTGTGTTTCTCGTCCACATTGAATCTGGGCTTGGCCAGCGGGACTTCGGAACACATGATGCAAACACGGCTCAGCCAGCAGGATGCAAACATTGTTCAAGGGAGGGAGCACAAGACCCCAGAGCTTGGCTGCTTGGGACACAGTTGTGAGCCTCCATTCTGTAAAGAATCTTGGAGAGAAAGACCTTGCAAAGAAAGAGGAACAGCATCCGCTATGCCCGATGCACTCAGCATGCAGGTGAGCCCTTCGTCCCTGCCAGCCAGCACACTGACTGCAGCTGCAGTGTGAGCTCAGGCTTCACACGCAGGTCTAAGCAGAAAATTCACAGGTGTGTGGAAAATACCCAGGTATTATTGGCTTAAGCTACTAACGTTGGGGCAGCGGGAGAAAACGGAAACACACATCCACTTTTCCATATTGCTACTAGGAGGAACTGCAAGACTGTGAGATCCCTGGGACAGAGCAAGTGCTCAAAAAGACTATAGTTGTCATTGCTATTTTCCATTGTACGAGATAGACGCAGGAAAAGGGCTTGTCAATTAGAGAAAAAGTCAGCACTTACCTTCTTAGCACCTACAATCTGTTTAGAGCCATGAGCTCTGGGGTTTTCCTTTAAGAAAATTACATTCTCGTCCAGGCACAAGGGCTCACACCTAGAATCCCAGCACTTTGGGAGGCCAAGGCGGGAGCATCTCTTGAGGCCAGGAGTTGGAGATCAGCCTGGCCAACACGGCAAAACCCCATCTCTCTCTACTAAATATACAAAAATTAGCCGGGTGTGGTGGCATGTCTGTAATCCCAGCTACTAGGGAGGCTGAGGCAGGGGAATTGCCTGAACTCGGGAGGTGGAGGTTGTAGTATGTCGAGATCATGCCACTGCACTCCAGCCTGGGCAACAGAGTGAGACTTGGTCTCAAGAAAGAAAAAAAAGAAAAAGAACAAGAAAAATATTGCATTCTACAATGGAGTATCATTCAGCCACAAAATAGAACAACATCCTGCCATTTGCAGTCGTACGGATGGGACTGGAGGTCATGATGTTAGGTGAGTTAAGCCAAACACGGAAGATAGATATTGCATATTCTCACTCGTCTGTGGGAGCTCGGAAAGCGGACCTCGTGGAGGCAGAGGGTAGAATGGTGGTTAGCAGAGGCTGGGAAGGGAAGCAGGGAAAGGAGGATGGAGAGATGTTGGTTAATGGACACCAAAGTACAGGGAAATAGAAGAAATAGGTTCCAGTATTTGATAGTATGGCAGGGAAATTATATTAGGCTGGTGCCATTAAAAGTGACACTGAACAGATTAAAAGTAACATTAAAAGTAATGGCAAAAACAGCAATTACTTTTGCACCAACCTCATCATTAAGAATTATTTGTTGTGTATTTCAAAATAACTATTTTGAATATTTTGAATATTTTGAACTATTTTGAATAATGTGAAAAAAGATAAATGTTTGAGCTGATGGATATCCTAGTTATCCTGATTTGATTATTACACATGGTATACATGTATCAAAATATATGCACCTCATAAATATGTACAACAATAATATATCAATAAATATTTTTTTAAAATGTTAAAAAGAGTAAGTGATTAAAAATTACATTCTGGTTAACATACTTAAGATGATCAATGCATTTATTGCCCTGGGCTATCAACAAATGATCAGGGACCCCTCTCTATGAAACATATCAAATAAGTGCACATTTTGAAAATCGGAAATCAGTAACAGTATCAATTTTCTGGAAAAACTTTAGAGAAAATGTATCCCTTGATCAAGGTCCTGAATGGCAGGAAATATTTCAATAATGCTAATGCTAATGATACTATTAACATTTGACATTTATCGATAATGTATCATGTGCTGGGAATGAAAAGAAGCACTTTACATGCAATGTCAGATGTAATCCTTTCCTCAGCCTGATGAGGCCGACTTTATTTTATGTGCATTGTGCAAACGCGGACACAGAATGACAGGGAAGTTAAGAAGCTCTGCGATTTGTTCAGTGTTACTCCGCTGGCCAGTGGTAGAGCTGGGCTTTGGCCCCGGGCTGCCTAATTCCGATACAGGCATTCTTCTTTTGGACAGAGAGGCTGGTAGATAAATTAAATGCATGTATACTCTAAGAAAAATCATTCTAAAGTTGAAGGGAGAGTTAATTGGTACCACTGTTATGAGTCTAACTGGACCTGTATTCTAAAATATTTTTATATATGTATAATATACATAAAAAGATACATAAATCAGTATATTTATATATATAAAATGATGGATTATATATAAAATTATATATATTACTATATATGTAATGATGGATTAATATATCTATTTTGAGATGGAGTTTTGCTCTTGTTGCCCGACCTGGTCAATATATTAACAGAAAGTTCTTTTAATAATTAAAGACATGGTGGCAGGGCACGGTGACTCGTGCCCGTAATTGCAGCACTTTGGGAGGCCAAGGTCGGTGGATCCCTTGAGGTCAAGAGTTTAAGACCAGTCTGGCCAACATGGTGAAACCCCATCTCTACTAAAAGTATAAAAAATTAGCCTGGCATGGTGGTGGGCCCCTGTAATCCCAGCTACTTGGGAGGCTGAGGCACAAGAATTGCTTGAACCTGCGAGGCAGAGGTGCGAGAACCAAGATTGCACCACTACACTTCAGCCTGGGTGATAGAGCGAGACCCTGTCTCCGTTAATAATAATAATAGACATATACCCTACAGTTCTAAAGCAAAATAATAGAAACAATGGCAGGCCGGGTGCTGTGGCTCATGCCTGTGAGCTGGGCATGGTGGCGGGCGCCTGTAATCCCAGCTACTTGGGAGGCTGAGGCAGGAGAATCGCTTGAACCTGGGAGGCAGAGGTTGCAGTGAGCTGAGATTGCACCACTGCACTCCAGCCTGGGTGAAAGAGCAAGACTCCATCTCAAAAATAAAATAAATAAAATAAAATAAAATAAAATAAAATAAAATAGAAATAGAAATAAAAATGATGGCACATATGTAATTGTGTACTGCATGGCAGGCTCTGATCGTAGAGTGCTACACAGTATGTACTTTTTTTTCTTCCCAGCGGCCCTATGCTATAGCTTCCATTATTTTCTCCACTTCACAGATAATTTAACCTGCTACAGAGAAGTTACGCCAATGTCCAAGGTTACAGGCCCGAAGAAATCATGGGTCAGTATTCAAAGCCAGGTGGCCACCTCCCACCGGGCGTCCTTACTGGAGAGCTCGATAGTTCCGCGAGCTGTTTCAAAATAGGAATTCAAATATCGGCAGAAGCAGGAGACGGAAAAGCATGCTCGGATTGCTAGATGACCTCTCATGTATGCTATGTCTCGTGCTGAGCAATGTTTTCTCCCTAAACCCTTACAGCAATTCCATGAAGCAGGCGCTGCTGTGATCCCTTCAAAGATAAGGATATTGAAGTTCAGAGAATTAGTGATCCCGGATCTAGTTAAGAAAATGGGATTTGAAGCAAGACATTCTAACACAATGTAGACTCACTCGATTTTCTTTGGTCTTTTAAAAATTAATTTTATTAATAAAAGTCCTACATGCATGTAGTATGAAAGAAAACAGTTGTTTTACGTGGTCTATTATGAAAAAAGACTCGCTTCTAGCCTTGCTCTAATAGTTCCTCCTTCTAGGGGTAACTATTTTCAAATCTCTTAACAGGCTCTCTTGGTCTCTCTCTTTCTCTCTCTCTCTCTCTCTCTCTCTCTCTCTCTCTCTCTCTGTCTGTCTGTCTGTCTGTCTCAACAGAGTCTTGCTGTGTCACCCAGGCTGGAATGCAGTGGCATGATCTCAGCTCACAGCAACTTCCGCCTCCCAGGTCCAAACAATTCTCCAACCTTAGCCTCCTGAGTAGCTGGGATTGCAGGCACGCACCACCATGCTTGGCGAATTTTTGTATTTTTTTTTTTTTTTTTTAGTAGAGATGAGGTTTCACCATGTTGGCCAGGCTGGTCTTGAACTTCTGGCCTCAGGTGATCCGCCCGCCTCAGCCTCCCAAAGTGTTGGGATTACAGGCGTGAGCCACGTGCCCGGCCATTCTCTTGGTATTTCTAACACAGCTCGAAAAGCCATCCTGGCATTACTATCTTTTGAGTTTCCAGTTCTAGGCATCATCTATTGAAGTCCCACATTGGGAGAGGAGGAATTGTTCCTGTCTGTAATGACGCCTTCGGTGGGATCTTACTGTTCTGCTCACCCTTTTCTCTGCAGTTAATAATTACATGTCTGCTTCTACTTTGCTTAGTTTTTTTAAGTATTTAACCCAATTCCTCCCTAACTCTCCTCTGGTTGATGAGTCTCCTCCCAAAATGTTCACACTTGTTAAAGACCCTTGCCTCACCCTCTTCCCGGGGACGGGGACGCTGTCCCAGCAGACCCC